GAATAACATAATAATATACTATCTTAACTATTTTGAAACGAATGCAGTGAAATATACTTTAATTTTAATTTAGTATAAATTAAATCCAGGATTATGACAACAAAATGAAATCAAACTAATTGATTAGATATAGTGAAATTGGAGCTGCAGGAGTACTTTAAGTCACACAGCAGGTAAAGAAAAATAGGACACAAATGGTATTTTAAATCCGAGCCCGAATGCAAGAAAACTGCTTCATCTTATAGGCATGATGGACCAAAACTAATTTTACCCCTATCAAAATCCCGATCAATCTTCAACAACAAAGCAATTGCAACAGTATTAACTTTTCTTTATCCTCTCAACAGATAATATACCTTAACAATCCCCGTCTCATCGTAAGTTTGTTACCAAGTTGCCACACTCTTTTTTACAAAATCTTACATTTGTATATTATCTTTCTTCCAGAAAACGCCAGAGCATAGAAAGAAAACTTGGTTAATCCATATAAAAATAAGAACATAAAGTAGCATAAAAATGATGAATCAAAGGCAAAGAATTCACACATACAAGAATGATACAAATTGATGCTGAGCAGAGGAACAAAATTTAAAGCCGCAGCTAGCAATGACAAACACATCACTTTGGCAAGGTGTTGGTTGAACATATCTCCACGGAAACTGAAACCTTGCCTCTTTTGCCTCAAACCGAGTGATGGGTTGTGTACAGTGAATGACCCCGACGAACCTATCAACTTAATGAAACTCCAATTTACATAATCGTACATGAACAAGTTCTGTCGTTTCCACTATCAAATTCATCATCCGATCCATCCACTTCACTGCAGTTGAATGACAAATTGCAACGTATTGAATTACAAGTAGATAATAAAACATGAAAACAAAAATACACATAACAAGGAAAAAAGTTATAAACATGTACGAATAGATAAAGGTAGTACAGCCAAAAATCCAGAGAATTGAGGATTGCAAACCTATCCAGGGTTTCCACATATGAAGAATGAAAAATATCACTCTTATTCGGCTAAAATTAATTACGCGATATGACTCTTTAAGATTTTATTGAAAATTCTTAATTATAAGATAAATGTACAAGACTTTTAAATGACAATGTGATCACTAATTTTTATTCTTGACTGCCCATATATAAGTATGTATAATCACAATATTATCCTCACATCTTTAAAATGAGAATTATTCTCTCTATTTAAGTGTGTCTATTAATAACTAATATATAAATGTTATTTGTGACAATTTGGAATTTGTTAAAGGAGACCTGAGTTTGCTGAATACTTATTACTAATATTTACAATTTCAAGGTCACACGAGGACCTTCAAGGAATCAGGGTCAGGGATGGGAAAATATTAACACATGGAATCAAGGATGGGAACAGGAGAAGAGTGAGGAAATAGGAGTAGGGAGATAATAGACAGGGTTGGGGTTTAGGAGGTACTTCCCACCCCAACTCCGTGCCAGTGTCATCACAAGACAGTTAATTGACAAACTAATAGTAGCATGGTCTGATTTATAATGTACTCGTTAAAGATATAAACAGCAATATTGAACAAAATGAGAAACATAACCTCAAGGTTTCCTATCACTACAACATGCATTACATAAACCTGAAGTGACACGCAATTTAAAACAAGTATGGATTCTTGCCTCTTTAAATAGAATTCCTACATTTATTCTATTTTTTATTGGATACTGACACAAGAAATAATAATGCAAAAATTTGCTGATGTGGCATATGCAAAAACCACTAGTGAGAATTCAATGTTCTCATCCCTCAATTAGAATTAACTACAACCTGCTCGGCTCTAAAAAACAAAGCACGTTCCTTTACAAAGTCCCTTGGGAATTAGATTACAACCCTATCTCCTGAAAACATTTCAAAAGACCATAGATGCATTCTTTGCCATATCCAGTCTACCAAAAATATGATACCAACAACCACCAGGTCCAGAAACAGATGCACGGGATAGGACCATTAGTCACTGAAGGGCCACAGACTTTCAAAAGTCCAACCTACTAGGGAGTGCTGAACTGAAACAAATGACCCAAAAAGATGACAGGAACAAAAAGCAAAACCTTTGTCCTTAGAAAAGGAATTGTATTCTACTGGGCCTAGAATGGTAACGAAGGAAGTTATAAGATGTATTTACCAGGCAATAGCATTAGAAATCCAGAGGAAACTATTTTCTGGGCTATGGAATATTCAATCACCAACAAACAAAGATGCTGAAGGCACCAATCAGCACAGCAAGAAATGCATATTTACCAGAGTAGGACAAGTATTCAGCCACAGGGCTTTATATATAGAAGTTGCAAATATTGAATTTTAAATTTTGACTGTTTTGTGGGGTTGAAAAACGAGAGACAGTGAAGAGTTGTCACAGGAAAGGGAAGGAAATTTTGTTATCAAGATGTGGTATCACGTGGAAAACCTTAAAAAGGTCTCGCATGTGGAAAAAGGTGCATGCAAAAAAGAATTATGTGAAGCTATGATTACTAAAGATTATTTACCCCTGAAAAACAATCACGTAACCAAAGTGAACTTTAGTTAGAGTAAATCAAATTGATCAATACTGACCAAGAGCAATTGATCTCGAGAACACAAACACATTATACAAATCCACGCATGGAGGGCAATATAATCAACTGCATGTCTTTACCTGAGTAGACCATGATTTAGCCTCGAAAAGCAGACGCTGTATGAGAATATCTACAATTTATTCTAAAATGGTTTTATTGTTTCACAGGTTGGTGGCGTGTTTGGAATAATTTATTGTAAAACTGCTATGATCATCTAAAGTGCCAAAAGAACTATTAAAACAAAGCTCTAGAACGGGTTGAAAATTCAAAGGAGAAAAGCCACCTAGCATGTTTATTTAAAACGTCAACAGCAGAATTTTAAATACACTTCTCATAATCAACAACCATGCAGCATTGAAAAAACGCCCAGTGTGCTTATCGAAAGAAACTTGATTTTCAGACAACTTGAAAAAAATGGTCAGATACAAATTTGCAGCTTTTGTTGTCAAAAAAAGACACCATCAAACACCACAACATTCCCAAGGATTTGATTCCTCTAAACTGAGGCAATGTACTTTAGAGGTAAAAAA